TGTGTGTGTATCGGATAGTTTACATGTGAAACCATTTGATGAATAAATCGAATCAGTGCATATGAAGTTGAGACGTGTGTGTTTAACCCCTACAGAGGCAGTCTCTGTAAAAGCGGCCCACTGCATTTCGGGTCAGAAAATAGTTTGCCCTCAAACTTTTACCACAGAAAGGTTATTACTAGTAAGTAATGAAAATGACTTTATTTTCTCGAAATTCATCAAAATGATTTTTTTACAGCGCATAAATCCTGGACCACCGTTATCGCTAAATTTGCATTTATTATCAATTGAAAATTGCCCGTATCTAAGTCGTCACTGCTCGCAAAATATTAAACGCTTGAACAAACTATTATTTTTCCTGACTTTCACATTCATTCTAGTGTCAAAAATAAGCAAAATTTTGAATGTTAAGCAAAAGGGAAAAAAGGAGAAAAATAAGTATTCATATCCATTTGACGGCTATTTGAAATCAAGACAAACCTCCCCTCACTAAAAAGCTTTTTTCTCCCAAGTCCAGAACGGGTTACTTAAGTTTTTTACTTCAATCTACTGATCAAAGGTTGATAAAAGTGGATTCATAAAACATTTTTGCGCTTTTTATGTATCTCCTTCACAGCAACATCGGACTTTTTCGTGCATGTTTTTACCAAAATGTCTCATGAAATATGCAAATTAAGTACTGAAATAAGCTATCACTAACCATTATTACTTGCTTGAATTTTACTATATCCGGTGTTAACACACTAAATATGATCTTATTTTCCATTTTAAACTACTTTGAAGTAAAATCGTCTCCAAAAAATACGTTATGATGGCTTTTGACGCGGTATATGAACTGTTTTGAAGTTTATGCAAATTACCAGAAGTTCATAACTAGAAGGTCCATCAGGTATTGGGGTGGCGTCCGATGTGTTTTACGTCTGAGTTATTCTTAGTAAATTTGACATCAGCACTGGAAGTGACCGAGCAGGAACGCTCGACCAATCAGATTCATCGAAATAACATGCGCTGCGCTGATTCGTTTAGGACACTATATTTCTTTTCTTTTATTGTCTTGAAATAACTTAAAAACTTGTCAAAAAGCATCTATTTTAATACATCTGATCTTCTTAAACAGCCCAAACTAAGGAAAATCAGTAGTCAAAACGCAATTTATCTATCACGACGAAATGAACACTGAGTGATTTTAATAATACGAAGTCCAAGAATTTAGTTAATTTGGTAAAAATGTCGGTATTCAATTAATTTAGATATGCCCAAGCGAAAAAGGCCCCATAAAATACAATGTTATGATGCGTTTGGCGAG